AATACGATGAGCTAGTTGTACGACTCTTTTTTAATCTGGACATCTATCAAAACAAGGGAAATGACAAAAATATTCAGATGTCCTTTATCCCTTTTGGAGACCCTGCCAAGGACCCCTATACTGACATATTTGCAACTAACTCTGTTTATCATCAGAAGTGATTAATGAACTTTACGACTTGTTTCGACGTTGTAATTAGGGCTTCACTATTCGGGGTCAGTTCTGGTCATAGTGTCCGATAACAACATTCCAATGCTCTGGTGGTACACTTTTTTCATATCTATTTGTACCGTAGGTGGTACAAAAAGAAATGAAAAAGTGTAACGCGGTACTAAAAGGAGAGAATCTTTCATATCTTTTTGTACCGCGCAAAAGTGTACCACGGTACAGAAAGATATGAAAAAAGTGTAACGCGTGATTCATGGTACACTTTTTTCATATCTATTTGTACCATAGGTGGTACAAAAAGAAATGAAAAAAGTGTAACGCGGTACTAAAAGGAGAGAAGCTTTCATATCTTTTTGCCGGCTGATATCGGCTGTTGGTACATATACATGTGAAAGTAAAGAGTGTTTTTGTAAAACTGTTTATAATCTTTATGTACCATGGTACACTTTTACATGGTACATGTACACAAAGATTTGAATTTTCATATCTTTGTGTACCATGGTACATGTGACTGTTACACGAGTGTTGACGTTCCTCTGTGACAGTATAGGATGTGACTGTTACACTAGTGTTTCTGTCCCCCAGTGACAGTATAGGATGTAACTGTTACACTGGTGTTGACTTCCTCCAGTGACAGTATAGGATGTAACTGTTACACTGGTGTTTCTGTCCTCCAGTGACAGTATAGGATGTCACTGTTACACTGGTGTTGACTTCCTCCAGTGACAGTATAGGATGTGACTGTTACACTGGTGTTTCTTTCCCACAGTGACAGTATAGGATGTGACTGTTACACTAGTGTTTCTGTCCCCCAGTGACAGTATAGGATGTCACTGTTACACTGGTGTTTCTGTCCTCCAGTGACGGTATTGGATGTGAATATTACACTGGTGTTTCTGTCCCCCAGTGACAGTATAGGATGTGATTCTTACACTGGTGTTTCTGTCCTCCAGTGAGAGTATAGGATGTGACTATTACACTGGTGTTTCTGTCCCCCTGTGACAGTATAGGATGTGACTGTTACCCTAGTGTTTCTGTCCCCCAGTGACAGTATAGAATGTAACTGTTACACTGGTGTTTCTGTCCCCCGGTGACAGTATAGTATGTCACTGTTACACTGGTGTTTCTGTCCTCCAGTGACAGTATAGGATGTGACTATTACACTGGTGTTTCTGTCCCCCGGTGACAGTATAGGATGTGACTGTTACATTGGTGTTTCTGTCCCCCAGTGACAGTATAGAATGTCACTGTTACACTGGTGTTTCTGTCCTCCAGTGACAGTATAGAATGTGACTGTTACACTGATGTTTCTGTCCTCCAGTGACGGTATAGGATGTGACTGTTACACTGGTGTTTCTGTCCCCCAGTGACAGTATAGGATGTCACTGTTACACTGGTGTTGACTTCCTCCAGTGACAGTTTAGGATGTGACTGTTACACTGGTGTTTCTGTCCTCCAGTGACAGTATAGGATGTGACTGTTACACTGGTTTTTCTGTCCTCCAGTGACAGTATAGTATGTGACTGTTACACTGATGTTTCTGTCCCCCAGTGACAGTATAGGATGTGACTGTTACACTGATGTTTCTGTCCTCCAGTGACTGTATAGGATGTGGCTGTTACTCTGATGTTTCTGTCCTCCAGTGACGATATAGGATGTGAGTCTTACACTGGTGTTTCTGTCCTCCAGGGACAGTATAGGATGTGACTGTTACACTAGTGTTTCTGTCCCCCAGTGACAGTATAGGATGGGACTGTTACACTGATGTTTCTGTCCTCCAGTGACGGTATAGGATGTGACTGTTACTCTGATGTTTCTGTCCTCCAGTGACGGTATAGGATGTGAGTCTTACACTGGTGTTTCTGTCCTCCAGTGACAGTATAGGATGTGACTGTTACACTGATGTTTCTGTCCTCCAGTGACAGTATAGGATGTGACTGTTACACTGGTGTTTCTTTCCCACAGTGACAGTATAGGATGTGACTGTTACACTAGTGTTTCTGTCCTCCAGTGACAGTATAGGATGTGACTGTTACACTAGTGTTTCTGTCCTCCAGTGACAGTATAGGATGTGACTTTTACACTGATGTTTCTGTCCTCCAGTGACGGTATAGGATGTGACTGTTACACTGGTGTTTCTGTCCCCCAGTGACAGTATAGGATGTGACTGTTACACTAGTGTTTCTGTCCTCCAGTGACAGTTTAGGATGTGACTGTTACACTGATGTTTCTGTCCTCCAGTGACGGTATAGGATGTGACTGTTACACTGGTGTTTCTGTCCCCCAGTGACAGTATTGGATGTCACTGTTACAGTGATGTTTCTGTCCCCCAGTGACAGTATTGGATGTCACTGTTACACTGGTGTTTCTGTCCCCCAGTGAAAGTATAGGATGTGACTGTTACACTGGTGTTGACGTCCTCCAGTGACAGGATAGGATGTGACTGTTACACTGGTGTTTCTGTCCTCCAGTGACAGTATAAGATGTGACTGTTACACTGGTGTTTCTGTCCCCCAGTGACGGTATAGGATGTGACTGTTACACTGGTGTTTCTGTCCTCCAGTGACGGTATAGGATGTGACTGTTACACTGGTGTTTCTGTCCCCCAGTGACAGTATAGGATGTGACTGTTACACTGGTGTTGACGTCCTCCAGTGACAGTATAGGATGTGACTGTTACACTGGTGTTTCTGTCTCCCAGTGACAGTATAGGATGTGACTGTTACACTGGTGTTTCTGTCGTCCAGTGACGGTATAGGATGTGACTGTTACACTGGTGTTTCTGTCCCCCAGTGACAGTATAGGATGTGACTGTTACACTGGTGTTTCTGTCGTCCAGTGACGGTATAGGATGAGACTGATACACTGATGTTGACTTCCTCCAGTGACTACTACACATTTGGGTTGATGACCTCTAACAAGATTAAAAACAATGCTACAAGTTTCTTTCTATAAAGCTTTATTTCATTGAAACATTGTTAACAAACCTATGGTTTAGTTTCCCTACAAAGCAGGAGCATGTCATCAAGTAGAAAACAATTAATTAAAGCTATAAAAAAGTTTAATATGAAGTTTAAAAGCAAATTTGGGGAATTAATGATCTCTGTTTTGATGTGCTTGCATTTGTGGTAAGATCTACCTGTCTGTTAAGCATCAACATATCAGGACTGAGGAAGTGGCACCAACCTCATTAAATATGCAAACATTCCATCAACAGTTGAAGGTGGTCTGGAAGTTGACATGATGTTTGATAAAAAAAATATATTTTAAAGCAGGGAAAAGAAAAAAAACTTGCTCTAAAAAGACCTGCTAGTTCTATTAGTTGTAAATTCTTTGAAAGCATGATCTGATTGAATATATTATCTCTGGGTTACTCACTTAGGTTTTCTTTGAGACTGAAGACAACTAATTTAAATTACATGGTATAATGAAGAACATGTGTTATGTAACAAGGGAAATAGTGTCTGGTGATCTCGTTACACCTTCATGATACTGAACTTCATTTTGATGAGACATTATTTATAATTTTTTGATGAAAGTGAAGCTTGTTTATTAGTGTTGATACCACGATTCACATTCTCTGTGTTAGTCACATGATAGTTTTGTGTCCTTTTCGTGACATTTTTACATATTTTGTGTATCAAATATTAATAAATTGATGTGTTAATAATATCAAGGTATCAAAACAGTTAATGTTTTATTATTCAACAAATCAAAAATGTGAGCTGCATATTTTCATTTAATTGTAATTGATTTTTTTTTTTATTAAAAAGTGGGGTCCAGAGAAACCCGTCTGGGGGAAACCATTCACCATAATAAAGTCGTGGAAGCTTGGTAATGGTTTTCCATTAACTTATTTAAGAATATTTTATTGTTCAACAATTACCAAAAGAAAAGTTTTTGTGCATGCGTAGTGTATAAGAATGATGGTTGGTAGACGAGGAATATGAACTCTGAAGCCTGTCAGCGAGCGTCAGGGTCCTGTAAAGAACTGGACAAAATAGGCTTACTCAACAAATGGAATGGTAAAATCTGAGAGAAATCTCCAGGTAGTAACAAAAGGAACTAAAACGGTTCACTGACCCGGCTTTGAACAACAGCTGATACATGTATTAATGTTAGTCAGACATGTTCATGTTTACAGAGATGCTCTGGAATTTGTGGCGTCGACGATCACACATATTCATCAACACAGTCAACTGAGGCACATACCTGCCAAACTGTATTCAAAACAAAGGTCTGAATCATTAATCAGATGTTATGTAAACTGATCACCAGGTCAGGGTTTAATCATTTCGCTGAATATACACGAACTGCTTGAAAGGTAATTTAATAAATGTACTGTAAAAGAGTACAAAATACAATATTTCATGATTTTAAGAATATTTTGAATCATTTGATTAATGTAAATTAAAAATTAACAAAAGTTAAATGTGTAAAATAATGTAAATACAAGTAGAATGTCAGTAAATGTTTGGACGGAACTGATCTATATAGCCTTGTTTCATACTGTGACAAATTATCCAACAAATCAAAACACACTGTCCTGCTCAATTTGGTTTCTTAGTCTTTGTGAAACTCTGAACGAATTAGCCAACTAACGTTTTAAAGATCCAGACTACATTTTACAATTGAAATGCTTGCCCAGTTGTCAGAAGATAAAACTAATACAAATTACATTCAAAAGAGGACAAGCAAAATTTTTTTTGTACAATATCTACAATAATATAATAAATCAAATATCAATTTTCTGTATTTGTTTTCTTGGATGACACAGCGATTACAATGAAGTGATGCAAGAATTGTGAAAACTATTGGATGTTTCATTCACGATCTCAAAAATTGAGAAATCAAATGATTTAGAACAAATTGAAGCCGATATGAAAACTTCACCAATATACCCTCATTATATGGTAAAACAATAAAAAATAATCACACATTTTTCTTACTATCTCAACACTAGATACCACAGATTCTCACTCAGATGGAAACAAATTTTGAACGAAATAAATAACTTTCCTTCTGTAGTTTTGTCTTTACTTTCTTCAAAATTTACTCATCGTCGTGATATTTTACCATAATATACTGACATGAGTGAACCGCAGTCAGTGTGTGTTACTTCACCAGAGGGAGAAGGTCTGTTTGATGAGCATGCCCACACGTATACACACACATCAAATGTCACAAGGTTATTGAAAATTGTCGAAGGTTAAGACAAATTAAAAAATGTGTTAAACATCAAAACAGGCACATCAAACAACATACAAAAATCACTACCCAGTGACAACCTGTTAGTGTAGACTGACATTATCACGTAACAACCTCCACATTTGTTTTCCTGAACATCAATTTTGTTGTTGGACGGTAATATTGATATATAGAATAAGTAGTGTAAAATCCCTCTAGTTGATCGACTATAGAGCAATTGGTAATAAAAAAACAACTCATAGTCGCCTGCTATAACCTCATTCTATCATCAATATTTATTATAATAACTCAATAACATTCCGAAAAATATATATTTTCAACCTGACAAATTGTTAATTCCATGAAAAATCTTAACAAATTGTCACTGAATATTTTGTTTCATAACTGGAATGCGTTCAGCTTGTATGTGTATTCATAATATTTCATCCTAACATTTTGAGATAAAAGTACAAAAATAGACATACTAATAAAAGTCACGAATATTCATAGCATGTTTGAATATTCATTATAATGCCATATAAATATTCATCAATTCAAGAATATTCATGACTGGAACATGTACAACAGTGTACTACACACTATATATATACACATTAACAGGGTACACTATATGCATGTTTTATATACATTTTTTTAGGAAAGATATGACTTTATACATGGCTACTACATGTAAGCGAAATCATACGCATGGTAATGAGGCAGCAATGAAGTGATGTGTGTATTATGAAACACCAACGTTTTGCGCTTACAAAATCTAACATGAAAGAAAAGAATATTATCCACCATAATGAGATGTGGAATGTTCACTATATACACCAATAAATCTGATGTTAGGTTCATAGCACTATAAACGAGATTAGTGTCACAAGATTTGGTTACGCCTCCATTTTTGTACTTATCAATATGATGTTTAACCGTCAACCTTGAATAACACTTTGTCTGGCTCTGAATCAAACGCTCAAGTGAATAAGATTGTTGGAGTACTATATAGCATCAACATAATTTCATTGAAAATACACACCTAAAACACAGTAATTCTTTGAAAATCATCTCAATCAAATGATTGACAGGTCATTTTCCTAATGGAAATATATGGAAAAAATAGAATTTTTAGTCAGGCTGGTATGAACACAAATCAGTTACAAATATATTTACCACAGAGCCATTAATTGGTTCAATCCCTACATATAAAGTATGTGGTGAAACCCCACTGTACCTGTACACTTTGTTTTCATTGCTTTTAAATAAACTATGCTAGACAACTGAACAATTACTCCATATTAAGAGGCTCATCCACATCATTGTAAATATTGGGTAAAAAAAAAGGTAGAGAAATAAATGGACAATGAAATGGTTGTTTAACTAATGGCAGGCATTCCCAGCTCATACATAATGTTCATGACATATAAGTGCATGCTAAGCTTGTTTATGACTTCAGCAAAATGTGCTACATTCATATCCAAAACTTTATAAATTATCACAAACTTTCTATATAACAAAGCTGGTAAACTTTGGGCAAGCATACAGGTTTTGAGGTGTAATGATGAAAAAAATATTATTTAATTTGAATTTATTCAAGCTTTAAAGAATGACTACTTCCAATACATATATTCGTTTAAAAGGGAAATATTATAAAACATGTATTACTTGCCAGGCCAGTGGTTTAATTCATTACAGAAAATAGGATTTCTATAAAGTGGGTACAACCTTACACCCGAATGGTTAGGGAAGTAAAGCTAACAGACAGATCATATGTATATACTACTTGTATTTATATAAAAAAAAAACAACGGTTTAACAAGTTTGCAATATCACAGTTTGCAAAAATACAACAACGGTTACATATACAGTATGCAAAAAATATACAATTTACCCTTTTAAACAACACAGCCTTCCTTTACCAGGTAACATCAGACCCTTACCTTACCATAACAGGTAATAGCATATCACAATAGTTTCAAAATTCAAAAGGGCTAATTAAAAAATATTAATTAAAAAAATTCTATCATCTATATTTGTAATTGAAGCTCTAAAACAAAATAGTGATTTAATAATCTAAGAAAATAAAAGGAATCACAAAATATCAATTCTTGAAAAAAAAAGTTTGTAAAAATATGTTCAATATATAGATACCAGTATATACCTCAGAAAAAAAAATATAAAACAGGTTTATTCTACATTAAAATCAAGAATGACAAGATTATTTCATAAGTTATAAAATAAATTTAAAATAAATATGTACATACAAATGTATTTCCTCCTCTGGATGTGCAACATAGCCTATAGCTATTTTCATCTACGTTTTTTATTTGTGCCACAGATATATTCTACTTGAACTACCTAGGATATCTCAGAGGAAACCTTTATACTGGTAAGTTCTATGACTAGGTTGTACAAATCTTTAAACCTGTATTACATTTGACAGAAAACTTTATGAATTGCCAAATGCAGTTTCAGAAGAACCATATTTGACCTTGCAAGTGCCCCAGTTTGAGCATCCTATCCTTTCATCAGAAATTACTGACAATCAAAAATAAATGTTCATTATGGCTATTTATTTGAGAATTTTTGAAGGTTCTGCAACCATTCATTTTTTTTCTCTATCAATAAGTGCCAAGGATAACTATTAGGCGACCCAGGGTAACTTTTAGACCAAATACGGTACCTGTCTTTACCATTGCATGTTTTCCCATTTAAGTCAGTGGTACATGTATGTACATATATAGTATATTTACTCTTTTATAAGATTATGCTCCTCACACTACTGACTATTTATACAATAAAATTACCAAAAAACCTAATTCCTATCTTTTATCTGATGAGACTAAATATGGTTAAATTTACAAAACGAAATATTGCTGTGGATAAAGCATTTTAGCCCCAGACAATCCGACGTACCATATATGTCCAAATAAAGGGTTAGACATAAAATTTGCAAAATCACTTCTAAAGAGAAAGTGATGTGACATTTATTGGCAAGCTTATTTGGACATATATGGCATATGGTTGGCAACCGTTCATATATATATATTACACTCACAAGCATTTCCTGATTAACAATATTTTCTGTCTCTTATAGAACTGTACAGAACACTTTAATACTTATCCTGTATTTGTTCAGTCTACGTCTATCAAGCTTTCATTAACCTCACTCAATGCCCCAGGGTCAGAGTGGATGGATCTACACATCTATATCCCCTATACAATGTCTACATAGTACAAAATCATTTAGCAGGTTTCAAGCACCAAATTTCTAACACATCAAGGACAAAAGTACTTCTTTGTGATGAGTGTGCAAGGCAACTACTTGGGCTGGACTGGTGCTGCATTTTTATTGTCTGCCTTTAGAGGCATGGCCAGCTCCGGTGGACCAAACGGGTCAACCTGTAAAGAAGAGCACCAATGTTATAGAATGTGTGATGTGGCGCCACTGGAGCTGTTTCTGTTTTATATCTATGATTCAGCTGAAATATTCATTGGTTTAAACAGTATATCTCTTGCACAAATGTTTCGGAGATTAGGCGACCTAGTATAAATCCTGTTTTCTATTCCTTAACTTGCCATGCAAATCTGTAGTTTCAGTAACTCGAAGAGGAATACTGAAATAAGGCTTAAGTTGTCCCATACAATAGTACATCTTACTTTCTCCGATACTCATGGAAATGGAGCTTAACCCAAAGTCCAACCACAGTCAGTGAAAATATAGGTCACAGTGACTGATGTTTGATTTATTGGTGGGGTACTACTCCTGACAATGTATCAATTTATGAAGCGTGATAACTGTTAGACTTCAGTATGGAAGTAACGGAGCTTTACACAAAGTCTAAGGAAGATGTTGTACAGATGTATGTACAAACAGTCAGACAAAAATGGCAAATATTTAACACCACCTCCACTACATTGTGAGGGCATAAAAACCTTGGGAGCAGTGTATCTATACTCACATAGACTGTAGGGTTTGGTTGTGCCTCAACAACAAAATCAGTCCCCTCAGGACCGTACTCTTTGCGTGCACGTGCCCAGTTGGCCTTGATTTCAATTCCAACAGTGAAGGACTGTGAACGGACAAATGATTTCCCACCCGACACACATAACAATTCGTCTCGGTTTATATCATCAAACTTCAGCATCTGTAAAGACAAGCAAGGTTATTAAAGTAAGAGGTGATTTTTTACATGTGTACAGGTGTTCGATCTTATATAGCGACATAAAGGGGTGTTTCTTGCGTAGAGTTACTTCCCCTGGCAAGATAGGCATATCTCATTTTGAAACTTTGAATTAGCATTTCATTTTGACAATTCATGGAAAGCAACACTGGCAAAGTCTAGGATCAGTAGGATCAGCCTTATTCAAACTCGGGAAATCCTAATTTCTTTTTTTTACCGTTATGTTCAGATATATTTTAGAACAACAGTTATTATACAAAATACACCACAAGATGTCTATTATAAGGAACACATCTGTAGAAATGACTTAAATCAGTGGTTCTTCCTTTTTCTTAATATGTCATGCTTTTTAAACATATCACATAACATCTGCTTTGTAAAATATTTAAGCATAAAATCAAATATTGATAGGCCAAGTATGTTTTTTCCCTTTAATTAAATAGAAGGCTTTTTCCCTTCCCCCTCCTCAAGATATTTGTGTTTTGAAAATCCGTTCCAAACTTAGTGTAATTCCAGAAGGAAATAGACAGTGTAGTGCATGATATAACAATCTCTGAAATTTTAAAAGTGAAATATACATACGAGTCTGCCTTCCATATTGTACAGATACTTGGCAGGCTGCCACATTCCAAGCCTCAATTTGGCACTGTCCAATATCTGTTCTAATGTATCACCCCAGACATAGGTTGCCCGCTCTACACTTTCCCCATTAGGAAACACCAACACTCGTTTCTGCAATAAAAGTAAAATTCCTGACATAAAATATCACATCATATTTGGAATACTGAATTATAGAATAAGTTGGAAATATTACAATGTTGACTAGTGGGCTGATTGAGATATCACATGCTCAATTTAGGGGGAGATATGAAACATTTCAAAGGGATTTGGCAAATAGTTTTGGAAGGAGATTTATAAAGACCTGTTAGGAATTTAAGTACTACATACATGTACATTCACAGTTTTCAATATTACATGGTAGGTACACAGAACAAGGTGACCAACCCATGTGACCTCTGTATGACCTCTGTCACTTACAGTGTTAGGCTGTCTGTAAAGACGACCACCGATGTTCACCAACGACTTTGCTTTCTCTTTTTGGTTGTTTTTCACTTCAGCTAAATGTGTCTGTAAAAGAGAAGAAGTTAAAATTTATGTACGATATCATAAAACACTAGCCATAAAATTACTGTAGAATAATGGTATCATAAGTAGATCTCTTTATTGACTGTGCCTTTTCCTTTGACAATCTCTAGTCTGGACATGATCTGTTGCTATGGTTCCCTAGTTTAAGGACAGCATTAGTTGCTATGGTTACCTATAGATTACGGATGGTGACAGCTGCTATGGTTACTTCTAGCGTATTAACATTGTCAGTTGCTATTGTGTGGACTGTGTGTTGCTATGGTTACTTCTAAATGATTGACAGTGTCGCCATGGTTATCAAAGTATGTTACTATGGTTACCTCTAGTTTATGGACTGTGTCATGCTTCATCTGTTCTTCCACGGTGACATCCTGCCAGTGACCCTCAATGACCACAGGATGTTGAGTACTGCGAGTTGATCGGTACTTTCCTGGACTCATGTCATCTATCCTCCGTGCTGTGAGGACAAAGTGTAAGCAGTCAAAAATGAATCTCAACGGAAAACATTATACTAAATCTAAAACAGAATGACTGAAAACTGAGACTGTTTTTTCAGGGAAAGATCCTTAGTACAGACCAATTATAGAATATTTGCTAAAAGAATTGTGACACTCCATTTTTGTTGAAAAAAAGCAAACAATTTATTGCAAGAATGTCAAATAAATATAGAAGATATTGGGTAACTTGCTGTACACTGACAAACAGATTTGAGAGACAAGCAGACATTTCAGAAGACAACGCCTACCACGCATGTTCCGGAGGATGTGTTTTTCAATATCAAGCTCCAAGGACACTGTTGACCTGAATGCTCTTTTCTTCACCTGGCTCTCCATCTTGGATTCAACCTTCTCAGGAGGGATGAACTCTTTGCCACTGGAGACCCATACCTCGATTGGGTAGCGCAGAATCACATCCTCCGATGGCACAGTGACCTGGTTGAGCAGTTTCTGCCGTTCACGATTCACTTTGTCCGATTCCTGCTGGTCACCTTCTGTTACACAAAAATATATATGATATCAATAATTACATCTTGTATGTTGAAGTTTGAAGGAAAATTGTATCAGTTTAGAAATAGTATTATTATATTCAAATTATCAGAATTTGTTTGTAAGTAATTTGTAACTACTGGTGCAAGTATACCCACTACAAATGATACACAATAAAAGATACAAAACATGGCAAGCAGTTGAGAATATAACAATGGTTTATATAATTGTGGACAAGTCTGACCTGCTGTTTCCGTGTAGAGGGCGCCATTACTGGGACTATCCTGGCCCTCTCCTTCTCCTCGCTCCTGTCCTCCCTTTTTGTTTTCAGGACAGTCAATGATCCAGACACCAGACGCCAGTATGGATGTAGAAACCCCAATATAATTGATGGGAAATGGTGATGGATCTTTCCAGGACATGACCGTCTGCCACTCCTCGTCCTTCTCATTGTACAAACTTATCACACCATCTTCCCAAGTGATCAGAAACTTCCTAAATGACCCACCATCCAGAAGTCGTCCGTCATATTCTACCCTATTAACTCCTTCCTTTTTGTTACGGATGGAAGATTTAGCGTTATTGTTGGTGCCAATGACAACTTCATACATTTTCTTGTCTTTTTCATCCGAATCTTCCTGCATTAACGCAATGTGTGCATCATTACAAGCACGCACCTGGAACACCAGATGTCTGTCTTGTCTCAGTTGGAAGTTGTGATCGCTGAGCTTGGTGTAAGTGTAGTTGATCCCACTCTGTATCTTGGTTCGGAGGGTGATGGTTTTAATTTCCTCCTCCTCCTCCTCTTCCTCCTCCTCCTGAAGAGTATCTGGTTGTTTATCTTTAATGGTTCTCTGTGGAGGTTGCTGTGTTTCTTCTTCTTCATTCCCTTCATCTTGTCCTTCTTTTCCATCAGTTTCTGTATTTCAGAATTATGAAACATCTTAAGATGGATTATAATCGGCTATAACAAGGCATATTTTGTTCATTTTTTTATGTTATATGTGATGACTTCAAAAACATCAACAATGCAAAAACAAATCATACACATGCAGAAACTAAAATTGAATGAGTTATCAACTACCTTTGCATTACTAGTCTGATATAACTGACATTTTTATCGGCCATGTGGCAGAGATCAATAAATAAACAACCTCTCCATCCAGATATGGAGAGTATGTGGACATGCTCAGGTATGCAGGAAAACATTGATTGAAGTGCGCACCAAACCCGTCATGCTAATTTTTCAAACAGACCCTATGGAGGACTAACTGACTATCTCTAATCAATCAAAACTTATTTTAAAGGTTATTTATTTTGTACTGAACATTCGCTAGAACTTTACCTGCCATAATCCTCTGCAGCTGGTCGGCCATGAGTGAGGTGTAGTTGTTGACAGCCCAGTCCTTGAGATCATCGATCTCCAGTACCAGAGTCCCATCCTCTGTAAAGATCTTCTGTGCTGCGTTGGCCATGCCAAGTTTGTATGTGCACTGTCCCAGGATCTGAAACCAGAAAACTTCACTAGTTAAGGCACCAATATTTGAAAAGATCAGTCACTGGTGGTGCCTTTGCTCCGAAAGATTCTTGATTTATATTTTATTTCTCTAAAAATAGATACCATTATATTAGATCTGGACATTTTTATGCTTTTCCCAAGGGAGTTAATCAATGATAAAAAAAAGTCTATTTAACTGTTTTAAGACTCTGTTTAGAGATCCAACACAGGTTACTTTCAACAACCAGAGTCAAACTAGGATTTTGCAGAACTCTGTGTTTCAAAAGCTGTAAAACTCTCTTGACCTGACAGAAAACTAGTTCTGGTAAGGCATCTTTCCAACAGGTGTAGTTTTTGTCGATTAGAACCATTCACAAAAATGGTGTTTCCATAGAAACCAAGCAATACAAAAAGGTTAGCTAGCTTATTCCTTCCATTTGAGACACATACAACTAGAACTGTAAGTTTAGGTCTGACTTGAGTATTTCAGTCTTAAGTTTGAGTGTAACAGAACAAGTAAGGGATTTATTTTAATTCACTGTAATTATCTGGATTCAAACATGTCTCTCACAGATGCAGACCTCAATCAACTCTAATGTAGGTTTTATATACAACTAACACACAAGAAACAGTTAACCTGTTTATTACTCTTGTTAGCAACATATTTACATACAGTAATACATTTGGCGCATCAGGGGCTACTCACTTCAACAATTTTACTACCATATATTTAATACGCTAGACTCCGGGGGTATTGAGAGAAGCAGCTAGACTCTGAAAATGTCTTCAGAGAAGCACCTACACAGCCCAGAGAAGTGAGCAGCTAGACTCTGAAAATGTCTCCAGAGAAGCAACTAGACTCTGGTTGTGAACACCCCTAGAGAAGCCATGATGAGAGCAACGCCTCATAACCACTAAACTTTAAAGCATGAAAAAATTAAAACAACTCTGCCAATAATGAAAGGAGCAAAACGACTAATTATCAGGAGCAAATATTGGTACATCAACTTACCCCCTCTATACTGGAACCACAAATGAGCTTGCCCTGATGTAATCGACCCTCTCCATTTTTGTATGCCATTATTTTCATTGAGATCGGTGTCTTGGCAACTGATATCTCCTTGGCGATGGTGCGAACACTCGTCTCCTCTCGGAGTTTAGTTAACGTGTCTTCCCAATTTTCCAACGTAAGTTCTGCCTCATGTTCAGACAGGTCAACTTTTCCATTCAACACACGGAAACTCCCAATTTGCTGTAGTTTAAGCCTCTTAGCTGAAAACGTAGCAAGAAAATATTAAGTTTCCTTGTTTCAAAAGAACGATGATGACCTCCTGGTAGTCTCTCACCAAATGCTCCTGATCTTTTTGTGTCTCATAAAAAACATGATATTCAAATTGACACCAAGTGTGCACCAAGATAGTTTTATTTATTGGAATCAATATCAGTTCTTAGCAATAAGACTCATAAGGAATGTAGCCTCTTATATGATATGGAAAAAATGGTTTTATGAGAAAACAATTCTATTGTTAAAATTTTAATGTTGGTGCGCAATCTGTAATAAAGCCTGCTGGATAAATGTGTATAATATCTGTTTTTATGTTGAAATGTCCTACCTTGTCCCATCGCACACGAGAACTCTGTGTTCTCACGAATCTTCTGTAGTTTGTAGCGTCCTCTCATGGCACGAGCACATGACGTACACACTCGAATCTCTTTGATGTGCTGACGGTCTGTAGGAGTTGCCATGGGAACTTCAGCCACATAGCCCTATACAAATCATTACAAAACATCATTTCAGTTCAAATGAATAATGATATAACAAAAAAAAATCCTTTTACGGGAAATTTTCCATTTGTGCTACGTATATATAGGTATTGTACATTTTCTCAAGCACAGTATTTTTAAAGATCATTCCTTCTAATTTGGAATTATTTAATTCCTTTACATTTAAAATTTGATTCTTTAAAAAATGTAAGACTTGTAAGAATTCAAAATACAATTTTCCTTTAATTTTTTCCCCCCAATACAAACATTTGTTTTTGTACAAACAAAAGAATGGTTTAATTGCTTATGGGGATTGTTTATGAATAACAAGAAAAAAGCAAAACCCTATGAACCTGGACATAATCTGTGACAATCTATCCTGTCATGATACAAAATCTTTTTTCAATGATTCCAGTCCTTCAAGAATACTTGCAGCTAATGGAACAAAGTAAAAGTTCAATTTTCCAACGTAGCTACACCTCTCAGCAAGAACGAAGACACACTTCTGTAACATGAGATCTACTTACTGGCTGATCAATCTCGGTCTCCTGTGCAATGGAGTAGGAACACACATCGGCTTTGTTAGCGGCCGTTATCTCTATAAACAGGTAACAACAAATTTAAATTATTGGTTACTATGATATTTTGCAATCAAATTATACTTAATTATCAGTGAAAGAAATATGCTCTCACTTCTATTTATCTGACACAGTGATTAAATAAATTTAGTCTGCCTATTTTTATTTGTGAATACTTGATTTGATGATTGGGAGGATGCTATTTCAATATCGATAGTTAGTACATATTTCATGAAACAAAGAGTTCAACTTAGGAAAGAGTCTTTTCATGAATTAACACAAAGATCAATCTCTCACAAAAATAAAGTGATAATACCGTATCCTCTATAGACAAGATTTTGAAATTCTTCTTAAAGCTTACCACAATATCATGTTTTTGAGACTCTGAATACTTTTCATATTATTTTTACCTTTGTCATAGCGATTGGTTTTGAAGGCGTGTATGTGTCCAGTCTCGGCATCGTAATGCCACCGCTGGTGAGACTTTCCGTACATATTGGTTTTGCGTTGCTGAATCGTGACTGCACATCCAGAGTAAGTCAGTGTACGCCCTTCCTCGTCTTCTGAGAAAGGTTCATTGGCTGGAAGTGAAACGGTCAACACGGTCCTCTGTCCATGCTTCGCCCGAATCTCTCTGAAAGATAAAATTAGAAAGTGCTTTATTGTTGAAAAACAATAGGGCTATTTTTGCTTCAGAAATTATCTGATTCTTTATAGTAATGCACAAACACCCTGCATATAAACTCATCCATCCGTACAAATGCCATATATCTATACATGTAAATAATACAGTCATTATAAACCAGTAAGGCAGAGTTGTCAGATATAATATAGTAGATCAGTGCCTTATCAATAGTTGAACTCAGAGAAAAAAGAAGGGGTAAAATATTTCCAATATACATAGTACCTGTCACCAGTTTCTGTCTATAACAGGGTAAATTCTTCAGCGGTCCACAGCACACAAAGGTGTTGAAGTCAGAGCTAAGGGACACCAACATGTTTTTTTTGTTTTGTTTTGAAAACCAACTCTTTTATAAGTCAATAAACAGAATTCAGCTTACCCATTTTCTTTTATAACAAAGCGCTGATAGATGTCGTCAGGGCGACGTTTGACAATCGTCACTTGACTGATGCGCCCCTCCTGTTCTTGAACCCCTAATACAAGGTTCCTATTTGCCTGACACGCAAGGTAACCATCCTCAAACACAAATCGCTGTAGGGTATCTCTTGAGATTTTAGGGTTTGGAGCTGGCCTTTAAAAAGACAATAAAATGTCAATGTTTAGTAAAAATATATCCAGTGTTAATTGCATGCTTGATGTTGGTTAATAAACTGTCAAAGGTCGATGAGGCTCTGATGGTGTGAATAATGAACATTAGTGAATTTTTGAGAAAAAAAGCAGCACATTTGATTAAGAACACTTACTTGTAGCGCTCATACATCTCTCGGTCAGTGTATTTATTGGCCTCAGGATCGTTGTCAAGGTTACCATTCTCTACATTGACCAGTCGTTCCCATGGCCACTTGAGCTGGTTAAGGCGTTGTTCGGACCTTTCGTGGGCAATCTCGTGTGCAGTCCTGGGTTAGATAGTATTCATTTATATGTATGTATTATCAGCTCTGCTAGTTCGAGTATCTAATCGTATGATTTCTGACAGTTCAAGTATCTTATATTGAAATTCCGTATTTGAGCTGTCAAAAAATGTACAGCAGAATTGGCTGTCCATTTGACAAACTCATAAAGGAGACAGAAAATCATCAATTTCAAAGATTTCTACATAATACTTTTAAAACAGCAGATTACATGAATTTCACCATATACCAGAGTACATACCACCATATATGGTGACTTTTATTACATTCAATTTCAGTATTATTCTGTATGTAGTGGCAAATTGTAGCCTCACAGTAAATACCTTTGTCAGCCTGGTACATGTACCACAAGATACAGTTAAACCAGTTATCTATGTACTGCACCAATATTTCTATTAAAATAAAAAAGAGAAAAATGATGTTAAAATCTCCTGTATACTCACTGCCCACCGAAATCTCCAGATGACCGGAGCTCATCATCTGTCACATGACTGCCGACCTCTGACCCAGCCTTGGATGAGTGCGCCTTGGAGGCTTTACTGGGAGCTTTAGATGCCTTGGATGAGCGACTTCTGGTGTCAAACTTATCATCATCATCCTGGTCATCCATCCCCGACTGCCACAGTTGGTTGACGTTGATGCGGTTACCGGGGACCAGGTTGCCCTCCACCTCCATCACATAGTCTGTAGGGTAGAGGAATCAGAAGAAATAAGAACAAACAATTACCATACATACCTATATGTTCACAAACAATTTCATCGTAATACTTTCAGTAAAAAAATTTACAAATAATTCAACCCTAGTGCTTGTTTTTTTTTGGCAGGTATTTTGGGAATTACCACATTTCTAAATTTGGAAAAATTGATACTCTGGAAAATTTGATAGCATATCAAAGCACCTTAATCTACTTTTCCTCTATTTCATAAATCCTTGTTATAAAACATCTGCTACACCTCTCAGAAAGACAGGAAAATGAAAAAAGTGTTTGCCAGAAACAAAATTAAAATATTGACATAGAAAATACTTATGATGAAAAGCATCTGTTTTATATATATATATATAATATGGTTCAATTCAATTTGGAACAACACAGAAAGCACCAAATTGTAAATAATTTATCTGTCTTGTTACTTACTCTCTGGGTTGCGGAGAGCACAGTATTGGCGAATCTTGGCCACGTCCTGGGACAATTGAGACAGAAGGAATCGGCGTTGTTGCTCAGCCTTGGTCATTTTAGGGTCAGACCATGCCTCTCCACATGACACGTACACAACGTCATCACGCTTCAGGCGGGTCAGACTGAAGTGCTCATTACCATGCTGGTCAAACAGTCGGCGGGCAGCAAACGGCATGTCCAGCAGACTTGTACAATGGTCAAGGAACTGAATAAAACAAAATATAATGTGAGGGAAGAGCATGATTATCTCCCTTTCCTGAACTAATATCAAAGGGGAAAAAATTAATGAAATATAATACTGATGGATTATTTTGATTAAGAGTCATCTACCATGGCAAGTTCCAATTCCTCCTTCCCATGGGACACCTCTTCGTCCTCGGGCTGAGCCTCCTGGCTTCCTTTCTGTTGAGATTTATCTCCCTTTTCAGATCGTAGATCCTTCACCATCTGTAAATAATTCGGTAACTTCAAACATACAAAAATAATGTAACATTAAAAATACTAGAAACAAGACTCTGTGAAGCCTGAGTTGATGGTCAGTCACTTGAAATACCATGCCGTAGAATACTTGTCTTTTTACTTGTCACAATAAATTAATATGAACTGTATGTGCAAAACAAAACCTGTTTCTCTTCCATGCGAATCCATAAAGAATGACCGAAATTTTTTCCTGTACAAACCCTATAAACTATGTGTTTCTTTGCAGAGCATTGAAGAATATGTATAGTACATTAGGTTTACACGTCATACCAGAAAACAATTTATCACATAGTTGGCCTGTTATCCAGTTAATTCGCCCGTGTAATATTTTTACATATGTCACTAGTGTTATATACACTGGAGCGTTTTTCATTGGCTGTGCTAGTCAGAAATCAATTGTGACGTCATAATATGGACAATGGCGTGACGTCATAAGACAAAGTGTGAATGGCGCAACAAAATGGCTGTCTCCGTTTGATTAAGCCCTCTTCATTTTGGCTTTAAAACCTGTCAAAATGTAAGTTTTCTGAGTTATGTGATAAAAAGTATCTTAACTTTGTTTTCATTTCATATGAGATTTTATGAAACGAGTATTAGGAGTTTTTATTTTTGCGAGCATTTCTGAAGTCAGTAGTTGATTCCCAGTTTTACACTCTGTACTTACATTGGTGAGATTTGGCCCCACCACTGGAATGGCCTTGCGTACATCCTGTTCTCCATTCTTCAGGCACATCAAACGCAGAGGGGTCACTGATAATGATAAGTTCTTGTTATTTGAGGTGAATTTAAACAGTATACAGTAAAAGTCATAGATAACAAAAAATAGAGGAAGTAAAGAGAAACCAAATGTAGAGCTGAGATTTATTTTTACATCAACCAATAAGATGACAACAAACAGTGGGAAAGGCAAGAGGAATGAATACACTGTATATATAGTGTGTTAATCTGATAGAGCCCAATTAGGAGGAGAGGTGGAGACTACTTTTAAATCTAATCCTTTTTTATTATTATTCAATTTCAATAAAACCTGAAGCTTGAGACAATAAATTAAGATACATGGTGTTTAAGTCAGCAGTTTACATTTACTAGTAACGATCCCTGTTCAACAGCAGGTAAAACACTAGAGACTCCAGTGGTTTTTTGTATATACAAAAAGTACCCTCCCCTTAATTTAGTTTCGGACATAACTGCAGTGCAGTTAAGAACAAGTATATATATGGATATAAACAAGGTATGGCTTTCCTTTTCACAAATAATTTATGTTAGCTTTAGTCATGCCACAAAAAACAGTTTCCATTGATTAATGCTTCGTTACAGTTTTTGACAGTGGTACGTAATTACTATTCCGTCTTTGGGTATTGCAGAGTTATCTGCTCTTGGGAGCAGGTATTGATTGTTACGTCACTTGTTTGTGAGAGTAACGTTATCAATTTTTGAGAAAACGACATAATTTTCTCACACAGACCAATGACGTAACAATCAATACCTGCTCCCAAGAGAAGATAACTCTCCAATGCGCAAAGACGGAATAGGAAGTATACTGTAAAAGGCTACTTAGCATTGTAGACTTTTCTTTACCTCGTGCAGAAAACTTCAGAGGATGTACTCCATTGCAATACTTAAATGACTGACTGTTCCTATGTTACTGTAACATGTGTAGGCTGTACTAGGCTGTACTAGGAAGTAAAGGGGGATAATAAGGAAGTACCCTATTGAAACAACATGTACATACTTCCTGATAAGTTGTTTTTTCCTGAACTCTTGTGAAGCGGAGGTGCATTAGGTATGATATATCCTTCCATCGGCCAATCGTAGTCCTACAGAATATATAACAGGACATGTTATCTTGATGTGAGCATTCATGGTCCTATACGGAAACATTTAAAATAGGACAGTTTCAACTACCAAGTCTGTTTCCCTTATTCAGCTCCTGGTATACGCCTATTGTGATCATTTTTTGCCACAGTATAATCTACAATTGAGCAACCCCTTACCAATTATATGGTGTAAATGCATCAGGTAATAGTTTGCGTCCTTTAAAATGTCAACAGTCCCCTACGATTCCTGAATCAACCCTGTTCATACTGCCAACCATATCAGTAGCAAACAGTAGTTGGTTTATGGTAGGAGGCTGTCATAATCAAATATTGCACATGTACATGCATCACTGCAGACACAAAATTATTTCTCAATGCACTAGAGTATATCCGTAAACCTTCTTCAACAATCATTACACAAAACAATGATCTACATTTGGTATATGATATCTTTCCCTCGCCGTGTCAGCTCCTAGGTACTGACCTCGTTGAGAGAGCCATCCTCACGGGCTGGCCAGGAGTAGGCCTGCTTGTTCCATTCCTGGTTGGTTGCCTCATTGAACTTCCACTGGCCTAGGTTGTCAAAACGCTCTTGCTTCAGCGCAAATCTGCAACAAAAAATACTGACATCTGAAATACTTGCATTATAGTTGGGACAACATGTCTTTATGTCATATGTCATTTATCAAATGAAATGTAAAAAAACAACATAAACAGGAATATTTTTTCTGTAAAAATATACCACTTCTAGTGTAAAGCTGATGTTTGTTTTTCCAACAAATTCCATCTTGGCTCCTACCTCTGAAAGCCAGCTTCTTTGCGTGAAGTGAGTTTGTCCATGAGCACCAGATACACTCTCACCCCTGGGGACACACCCTCAATAGGTACATATGCTTCCTCATCTCCCATCTTGTGGCCGGTGTAGGTGATGACCAGGTCAGGGTGAGCCTGTTCAAAAACAAAACTTGAAGTCATACATTTATAGAAAGTAGGACAAGTTTTGTTTGCCCTCAGTGACATACCATCTTGTGAAAAATAGTTTCTTGGTTCAACTTGGTAAATTATTGTGAAATGGTATATTTGAACCAGAAAACAAACACTTACTCTTATAGTGGAGCTGATATAAGGTCATTAGGCTAGGGCACAGCATATACACACTGTATTTTAGCCCCTTGGTATCAGAATCTATAGGCAACAATTCCGAAAAGTGACAAATTAAAACTATAGTTCTGTGTGTGACTACCTGTTACAAGGAAAAACTCTGGTTCTATGGGTAACTGCTAGGTTCACAGTAAAACTCTGGTTCTATGGGTAACTGCTACGTTCACAGTAAAACTCTGGTTCTATGGGTAACTGCTAGGTTCACAGAAAAACTCTGGTTCTATGGGTATCTGCTAGGTTCCCAGAAAAACTCTGGTTCTATGGGTAACTGCTAGGTTCACAGAAAAACTCTGGTTCTATGGGTAACTTGAAATCTCTGGTTCTATTGGTAACTGCTAGGTTCACAGAAAAACTCTGGTTCTATGGGAAATTAAACTTAAATACACGATCATGGTCTTGGTCTGTGGGTAGATAAGCAATGATACTTATATATATATGCTTTATATGGAGGGCTATATACAATACATGTGTAGGTTTGTTCACATCCCTGAATAGACTCTGATGATATGGGTGATACTGCTCAGATACCAGGATATGCTCTATCTGGTTGGCTGCTATGGGTAACTCTGGCATCAGGACATATGGGTATATGACCGTGAGGAACAGAAAAAAATGACTTTTCCTATAACAGTGTAAGATTATGTATATATATATATTAACATACCAGGTTGGAGATGGTAGCATCAGGGTTAAACTTCCATTGTTGATAGATGTTACCACTAGTAGCTTTCTGCATGTTGATGACAAAGCCGGACGATGTACCCTCCTTTTCGGAGATGTTAAACTCGACTCGGGTGTCGGACACAGCCAGGCACAGAGTGGGCATACCCTTGCTGTAGATGTAGCCACGCTGTAACAGAATGGGGTACATGTTAATTATAGAAGTCAGTATAGAGTATGAACAGCAAGTTTTTCAAGATGAAGCAATGGAAAGAATCCGAGTTACGTTCAAGTTTTAAAAGGCTTTTCTGACCTTCACCACCCAAAGCCACATGGTGCGGTGCAAGAGTGACCACATGGTGTGACAGAGTACAGAAAAACAATGTACAGTTCATGATCAAGTACTTTACTGATACAGATGCTTTAAACATGTCTGCCTTCTTACATGATATAAGAAGGTGACAATGTTTGAAGAAAAAATATGTTTAGATTTTCTTTGATTTCTTTGACTATATACCATTCCTTGTTCAGCAAAAACACAATACATGTAGTGATATTCTCTGGACTTAAAAACTAACTCATAACCTTAGCAATTACCAATAGCTTTGCATTTAATATTTGTGTGTCAAATGAAATGATAATAAGAAATATATTGCTATTTCACAAAAACCACCTACTTCCCTAAAGATTGATCAGATAATTGGCTATATTTAGATCAGATAATTGGCTATATTTTGGCTATATTTAGATCAGATAATTGGCTATATTTTGGCTATATTTAGACCAGATAATTGGCTATATTTAGAAGCATTACCTTAGAGATGACCCAGACTTGAGCCTCCATTGGCCACAAGGTCTTATCCTTCTTGACCTTTTGGGTGATGGCAGCCTCAGGATATAACACAATACTCTTGTCCTTCTGTAAAACGAGGCAGTAAACAGTCCTTTACAATCGGGCATAATACATCTCTATGGCTTTCTCAATACTGAACAGCACTATATATACTATATTTGCAGTATGTGTGATTAAGATAATGAAATATCAAGTCAATAAAGCTACTTTCTTGATAGAGGCTTAGCAGTGATCAATCTACAATTAGCTTTTATGAGTTATTTTCCACTGTATTGTTATCTACACTGTACCACCATACTTTGGGATATTTTTGACATGGTGTTATTTTGATTTATTTGGCACTGCAACAGAGTGAATGTTCCAAAAAATTAAACACATCAAAATATTACGATGCCTAAAACTTGCATGTAAGTTTATCTTTTAAGAGGAGGAGTTTTTAATATTTGCAGTGCTGTACAAATTGGTTCCAAGTAGGTAATTACAGGAAGATATTACCTTGGTTGTATATATTATAATACGTACCTTGGCCTGCATGTAGTGACCGCCTTGACCTAGTTCTGACAATGGCATTAGGTCATCTTTAATGTGCAGTGCCACATTTGGGTCTTTCACCTTCTCGTAGCCATCACTAGGGAAACCAATATGTGTCTCGAAGTCATGATGGCTGTCCAAACAAAAATTTGTATTTCTCAGTCAACAACATCATATGTGATTCAAGATCATAGCCACTTAATCTGTTTCATATCTGGTTTAAAATAATATTCCCATATGATTCTGACCATGTTTATATTTCTTTCTAAACTTTGCAAATATTTCACTGCAGTTGTAAAAATGTAACGAAAACAAATTTCTAAATTCTCAAAGGGCAGTGTCGGTAGAAATAATGCTCTCTGCGGAACACTTTGTCCTTTAATTTTGGTAGTTGCATCATACCTAACAGTCTTGTAGCCCGTTCCTTTTTTGTTATTTTCACATTTGGATTGTCAACATATTACAGATCAGTTTAGTAACAATTATGTTTTAATAGGACCCCTGATTATTCTGTCTCCTTGTCTTCTCCAACCTTAATTCTGTGTTATTTCTCACTTAAAAACCTATCAAAATGATCAATCATTGGCTGGAAATGAATAAAGATTATAACAGGTATTGCAGACACGGTAAATCTTTGATTCTTCTTGTGAACTTTTCACCACAGTATTTAATTTCTGTTTTGTATCTTACCTTTTAAATTGATCCAGAGATTCAAGATTAGCCTCCCTGGAGATTCCATTGACGTCTCCAAGGTCATAGCCTTTGGCTCTGTCAAAGGTGGCTTGGAGACAATAAACTGAAACCAGAGAGTTACAGTCAGTCAGCAGGGCTGGTTTGGACTAAACAGACTCTATGAAATCCTCAAATTCATGAGTTAATAGCTATGAGCTAAATTTGTTTATATAAGCTTTACATGCAAAGTTTTAGCAACTGCATGTCAAAATGGAGAGTACGAACTAATGATAATTTCATTTTGGCAATTTAATTACATACACACAAATGACCACATAATCTTATTCCTCAGCACAATGACACACTGTCAGGATAAATTTGTTATAATTGCTGTTTTCATAATATTAAAATCTAAACTAAAACAAAATGTTTAAGAATAGAAAATGGCCCCTGACAACAAACTGATCAGAATTTCTGCTTAAAATTCATTACGAAAAATCAATCAAATGGGATACTGATGTACTTACAGAATGGTGTTATAAAGGGTTCCCCAAACGACACCCAGATTTCCTGGTCATATTCAAGCTTCAGGATGTCCTTTATTTCATTTCCATATCTGTCAAACATGCGACGAGCCACAGGGGTCAGTTTGGGATTAACGGGGTTACTGAAGACACGATTGGTTGACAGGTCATCAAGGAGACGTTGTAATTGACGTTTTCGCCCGTCCTTATCTGATCCTGTTCCTTTCAAAGCATCAGCAATGTTGAAAAAGAACTGCTGCCCCTCTCCATAGAATCCATTTTCATAAACCTGTAATATGTATTACAGGATCCTGATGCTGGGTCGATGATATCACAATTTGACACATAAGATCAAAGACAACACACCAGTGATATCACAATGACATGTTCAGGTTCAATCCAATACATTTTTCAAACAACATTGTTCATCGTCCTTGTTAAACAACTTAGAATAATTAAGCTTTAGTGAAAGTTTGGCTCATATATGAATCCATTACTTTTAAGATAATTTGAAAGTTACTTTTCTTTATGAAACAGTACCCAGAACCCCTGCAATGGAAACGTCACTGTAAAATTGAGGTCTGATGGTAGACACTCACCTTAAGTCTAAGTCCTTTCCTGCCAACCAATTTGTGGTCGAATGAGAATTCCTGGATATGACTCATGCGGTAGTTAGCTCCCTCATTCTAAAACAGGAAGTGAGAAATAAACATTCTAAAACAGGAAGTGAGAAATAAACATTCTAAAACAGAAAGTGAGAAATAAACATTCTAAAACAGGAAGAGAGAAATAACATTCTAAAACAGGAAGTGAGAAATAACATTCTAAAACAGGAAGTGAGGTATAAACATTCTAAAACAGGAAGTGAGAAATAACATTCTAAAACAGGAAGTGAGATATAAACATTCTAAAACAGGAAGTGAGAAATAGACATTCTAAAACAGGAATTGAGAAAAAACATTCTAAAACAAGAAGTGAGAAATTAACATTCTAAAACAGGAAGTGAGATATAACATTCTAAAACAGGAAGTGAGAAATAGACATTCTAAAACAGGAATTGAGAAATAACATTCTAAAACAAGAAGTGAGAAATAAACATTCTAAAACAGGAAGTAAGATATAACATTCTAAAACAGGAAGAGAGAAATAACATTCTAAATTAGTTCTCCCTTCTACCAGAACATCAAACAAATGTTATAAATATTAGAGTGACTGTTTTTCAAAGTTCATATCTTTCTGTAACAACCATGTAAATATTCTCAAAAAATGGCATATACCAGGTACTTGACATTTATTTGAAACAATACCTTGTGAACATCCTCTTTTAATTTGCTCTCTAGCATGTTAACAAATAAAGTATATCATAGTCACTGTATATGTCCGAGATGTTTTTTTGTTGTTGTTAACATATGAAAATATGCTTCCTTTTTTGTATTTACTGGTAAAGATTTGCTGTGTGAATATTTTTTCCAAATAAATAAAATTTTGATAGTTCACAAAACCTTTTAAGTGATAACCTCTCCTTTGATAAAATAGTGGTATGCAACTGTTTGTATATACAGCAATAAACGCTTACCTCCTCTTTGATCTTGACCTCCTCAATGGTTGCTATCTTGGATTTGAGGCTTGATAGGGTGGCTTTCAGCTGGGATATTTCTTTCTCAGCCTAAAAAATCAAAACAAGATCCTAGTTAACAAGAGAGAATGACTGTTCCTTAGCAACCTTTGTAGTAGTGTACATGCCATCTAGCAGCCATAGCCTACTCTTCCCCTACAAAGTTCCAGTGACGAGTTGCAAGGGGTTCTGTCATTGGCAAGAGATAATTCTAAGTTAGCATCAGAAACTAACCCCAGCTGTCCACTTGGAGAATCACTGGCTTAACAAAGGGACCAAGCACGATGTTAACAAATCTCCCCCAAAGTGTGCTACCACGTTTCCAATTGGAAGTGATCACCATTGGACAGCCGAAATTTGTAGTGAGGAAAATGTGATAGCCTGCAGTGGCAGTCAGATCACATTGACAACCCCTGTTAAAAGTGAGAAATATTGGACAACCCAGGTTGGAAGTGAGAAAAAACTGGACAACCCTATAGTTTTTAATTAGTTTGATATCTGAGAGTCCAAATCGGCAGTGAGGGGCATTTGACAAACCAGTTTGGCTGTAAGGTAAGATCTAGGTTATTTGACAGTGTTAGATTCCTGGTGTGTTGGTGTTGGGAACTTTACCTTGTGTCAGACCTTTGGACATTTATTAGTCACATGTTTGGAAACTCCAGCAAAATAAGCATATGTTCCAATCCAAATATATTTCTGTATTGTATGTCTGAATATAAGTTTTGTTTTCCAGACATTGAAAGTTAGCCTCACCAGCTGATGGGTGGTGTAGAGCTCTTCCTCGCTCATGGATAAGATGGCTGTGATGGAGATGGTTTCCTTCTGTCCCTGCATGGCGTAGTTGATCTGTAACATGAAACCATCTCTCTTGTATCTACCTATATGTTCCATACTTAATTGTTATCCGAAAGCTTCCCAAACTCATTACATAGATCCCTTATGAAAATGTTTGCGTGAAAACCTAATATTTGCTTTGAAAAATAGGTACTGAAACATTTTTTTTTTTTTGGAGAATCCTATTTTACAAATATACAGTGTATGGTTAAAGATGTTTTTTTTATTACCTATTCATGGAAAAAAACCAGTAACAGTAAACAGCATCTTAGAATGGAGAAGATAGCATCAGAAGATTTTCTCTCTCTTTAATTAGGTGGGGGG